GCAGAGATGGCCGAACGTCTTTGATACTGTTTTGAAGAAAGTGTCTGAAGGCTCAGGTAGGTGGGAATGTTAGACTGGATTTATTATGTATATCCTAAGAACCCACCACCTGGCTATGTTCCTGGCGATGGCCCAGAGGACATTCCTTTCACTGAGGGTATGAGGAATGCACCAATGAGGGGAATACAAGCATCTCTGGAGAAACTTGATAGTTTCTCTCTTATGTAGGTCTGGGCTGATAATGGGGGTTTCTGCCATAAAATTTAGCTTCATAATATTAGTGAGAATGATGGAATTCCAGAGTGGCAGAGGCCAGGTGGTAGCACTTAACAAAGGCTGGCTGATACAGTAGCCATAATGGAAAGCCAGGCCTGTGTGACAGCCAAGTTGCCTTAACTTATAGAGATGTCTGGTGTTGGCTAATGGATCATGGTGTTATAGGAGCAGGATCGATAAGCAGGCCACAGTGGTGTTACTCTATGAGCATACCTCAGAAAACTGAAGAACTGGTAAGCAAAAGCCTGATTTAGTTGCTGCAATAGAAGATCGCGTTCCCTCATCTAGTTTCCATATCTGAGGCAGCTCACAAACTAGAACCCTTGGTTGAAGGGAGGACTTAACTATTTAGCAGAACCGTAACGCTAGATCTTTTACTTGTGACATTAGAGCTATTATGAGAAAGGCCAAGTGGAAGGATCTGAAAATGTCCATATCAAAGTATTAAATTAGAATCAATACTGCACTCCAGAAGGAATTGCAGATATTTGTGCAAGCCTGAAAGATCTGAAAAATGCAAGGATATCATCATCCACAACTATGCACCACTGGTGAGGGCTTTAGGTTGTGGAAGCTTATATTCCTATGTTCTGGGTAATGCTGATGATCTCTTTGTTGTGTATCCAGACTACACTGACTTCCACTGGAATCCTGTAGTAAGTACACATGCTTAATTTACCCAAGCAGTATCTTTATCGGGTCTTTTCATCAATCTGAGCCTGTAATTGAGATTTATTAGTATAGTGCTCACACAGTAGTTTATGCATTACAAATATCTTTTCCCAGAGTATGGCTTGTTTTTCCTCTTTTGTGTGGTATCTTTCACCCTTACAAAAGTTTATCTTAATGCATTTAAGTTGATTTAAGCTGATCCCTTTTTGACTTCTACTTGAGTAGCTTTTAAGAAAACTTTTACTTCAAGGCCATAAATCCGAGGGTACTTCAACAAGTTCATAGAAAAATAAAATTAAATGATAACATGAATCTTTCCGCGAACTTTTTGAAGTACGCTCATAAATTTGTTAGAATTTCTTCTACTACTTTTACAATTATATTAAATATATAATGCACATTATTTATAATATCATACATAGCATATTATTTTACAATTATATTATATATGATTGGTACATAAATTACATACTACTACCTGACTCTCCCTTAGCTTTAGTGGTTAGGATTTGGCTTCCTACCGATTTTGCCTCAGTGTCAATCCATGGTTTTAGTTGGGCTACTTCTATCTTGTTGATTGTATATAATCATTGTGATGATCTGTGCAGCTGAGATTGGATATAACTTTCTTCACTCCAATTCATCTGCCATAATAGATTCCTTTCTAAAATGCAGACTGTATCATGTTCTTCTCTGCTTAGGAACTTTTGATGGTTCACAAGTGAATAATTATAGTAGCAAACAATTACATGGCACTTACTATATGCCAGGTATTGTTTTATGGGTTTTACATATATTAGCTCACTTAATTCTAAACAAAAGAAAACTATGAGGCAGGTAGTATTATTTCACCCCCATTTTATAGATGAAGAAAACAAGGCCCAGGAAGGTTAAGTAAGTTGGAATAACTAGGGTTTCAAACCATGTTCTACGGCTCCAGAATTTGGGATTTTAACATCTACGTTTATACTATTTTTCTATCCAAGGCACTCCTCCAAATACAGAATCAAGTCAAAATTTCTTAGCACATCTTCCAGCTACCCACTATATTTGATCATGCTTCCTTCTCTGTCTCATATTCCACCTCTTGATCTTTTGCAGCCGTAGCTCAGCACACTAGACAGCATGTTTATTTAAACTCGCTGTGTGTGTTTATGACTTTGTACTTTACTCAGGCTTTTCTCTCAGTCAGAAATATCCTTCTAAATGGTCTTCTTTTTTGCCGTTCACTCATTCTAACAAATATTTATTGAGTTGTACTCTATGCCAGGCGCTGGGCTTGGGTGCTATGTTACCACAGTAAGGAGGCAAATCTCCATTGCAAGGGTCTTTCTATAAATGAGGGGCAATTAGAGTCGGGGGCTAAAACATTATCTTCTCTAGAATCCTCTATTCTCTTTCCAGTCCTAAGATTCGTCTTGGAACTCCCCTGACATTTAAAAAAAATTTCTCACAGCATATTCCACAACATGCCTTTTTATCATCTGCTTCTTGCAGGAAATGGATGGGTTCATCTATGTATTGTATGGGCACACTAAAGAAATGGTTGCATTTAATGGAATGAATGGCTGAAGAAGTTTTTTTTTTTTTTTCAAAAAAAGCCTTAATACTAGGTGGTGAGGTGGAAAAGGGAGATTTGTGTGTGTGTGTGCGTGTGTGTGTGTGTGTGTGTGTGTGTGTGTATGTTTTAAAGACCATATACATGTATCTGGTTGAGACAGTCCAAATGGTTAACCACTAACTCAGGACTAGAAAGGGAATTAACCTTATTTATTCTTTAACAGTAACTTGAGATGAAAAAGACGTTTGAATGGGCCAAAAGGATCCCTGCAGCTGCAAAGACATTAACTATAAGGAAACAGTAATTTACATTATTTATAAGGAAGCTATTTACATTACTTAGCCCTGTCAGACACAATAGCACAGCTCCATTCTTTCAGTACAGTGAAAAGAATAAAGCAAAGTGACAAGGAAATAGAAAAAATATTACAATGGCTGCATTTCAGTACATAAAAAGATAAAACCTCTATAACATTAAAAATGCCTCAAATTTGATTTAAACATAATGAAATGGAAACTTCCATCTTACCACAATGATGATTCAGAATCTAACACTCATTTAAATATTCAGATAATCTTCCAAAAGCTACTGCACGTTAAGCATTGTTAACTTTAGTAGGTACAAGGACGAAAATTACTAAGATGCAATGTTTCATAATTCAAGAATTTGAATTTAATTAGTCACATTTTCTTTTACCAGTGACTTTGAAATGTAAGTGTCTGAACTATGAAAAAGGTTGTGAGAGCAGCCAAATGGGGGGAAAAACTCTACTTTGTTTTATTTTTATTTTCTTTCCTTCTCTCTGACCACTTTAGTTTAATTTTATCCTGCTGTTTCACTTTCATCAATATAATAGACAGTACTCAGTGGCAAATTACAGCAGCTTTTGATCTGAAGGGTACAAGTCTGCTATGTGAGAACAAGGAAAAGATGAGAAGAGAGAGAATTTACCAGGCTGATTTTTTTTAGTCTATTAATTTTTTTTATATAAGCCCCAATGATGAATTAATTGTTTCTCTAGGCCTGAATTCTTTAAAGTCATCAAATTTTTATTGCTCACTTAGAGACAAGATCGAATCTTTGTTGACAAAAGGATGATATCTACATCCTGATTAGAAAACTGGACTCTTGCAGTGAGTCATTGTATCTCACTGCTTGCCAGGAAGGTTCTCTGACCATAGTTACCTACCTCAATGAGCAAAGTCACCGTCATCTTCCTTCAAAGAATATTAGGGTACAGTACACATGACATATTAAGCCAGCTTCACAATTAGCACAGGCCCACAGAGCCTGTGAGAAATTAGGTCAGACCTGAAAGAAATTAGGCTGTGGTCCAATAAGCTTCTTAATCTTAAATGGGAAATTGGGCTCACAGGGTGTTAGGGTCACTGACTTTATTTATCTTTAAGTGTGACAAAACTGGTAACAGTTTTCAGTGTTAAAGACCTATTTTTCTCAACCATCAAATATTTCTGGTTCTTCTCTTAGATAATTTTTGGCATTGCATAATTTATAAGGAAAGTAAACTCCCTAGTTAGTCAGAAACTCATACTTTAAATTAATAACCCAACTCTGTTTCCGATAATATGCAGGGAAAGAACTTCCCTTGCCTCCAAGTATTTCTCTTGAGGACTATAGTTTCCCCATTAGAAGTAAAGTCTCCTAAAATCCCTGCTTGAAATGCAAAAGTATTTTGAGAGTTAACACCTTAAGCCACTAGTACGTGTTAATGTCCAATGGTTAAGTCTGAGTAAAAAGCATATTAATTTAGAATATAGTGATAATTAGGAGAAGGCTGAAATGAGAGTAAATAAGTACAATCATAATTTTGAGAGGAACAGACATAGTCCCCACAGTTACAGACCTCAAGCTACAAACAAAGGGAAGAGAATGGATCAGTTGCATGTAGTTGATTCTTAAACTACTCAGATATTTTCCTAATTTTAATTTGATTAGTAAGTTTTGTTCTGAGGAGTGATCAACACAGCCTATTCATTTTGAGCACGGGTTTTGGAGTCACAAGGTGAGGACCTGATCCCAGACACTATGGTTTTACTCTGACCTTTGTCTCAAATGACTTAACCTCCCTAAACTTTGGTTTCCTAAGCTGTGAAATAAAGATACGAACAGTATCCTAAATTGTAAAGCGGTTACAATGATTAAATGAGATAAACGAGACTATATGTTTCAAATGCTTAGAACAAGGCCTGACATACGTTAATGATCATCATCATCATCACTATTATCAGGTGGTCTGGATTTGTGAATGTAAATCTTCGGCTTTCTGTTCAGAACTCTCTATTCTATCTCATACAGCGGTGCCAAAGGGCAATACGGCAAAAGCCTCTGGATCATCATGCGTTTCCGGACCGGGTTCTTTCTTCCTTTGGCCTCCAGAGGCCGCTGTGTTTCCCGGAACGCGCGCCGGATGCGTGGTTGCCGCGCGACCGTCGCCTGGCAACCGCGTGTACACACACTCCCGACCGGCCCGAGTCGCGTCAATATGGCGGCACAGGGCGCCACCTGGAGCTCTCCATCCGAAGAGTCTCCCACATCGCTGTCGCCTCCAGAACGGCCGCCGCCGCCGCCCCCGCCCCCGACCTCGACCGCGGTTTCCAAGTCGCCCCTGGGGTCGAAGGCGAGCTCCCCGAGCCCGCTGCTTCGCTGCACCTGCTCCGAGGACTCGCTGCCCCTCGCCGTGTTTTATGGGCCGCTGGACGCTAAAAACCCACTCCTGACCTCTTGCGAGAAGGAGATCCGGGAGTTGTTAGGCTTTATGAGGAAAAAGAAGGCTTTAGCGACCACGGACGAACAGAAACATGAATTCCACCGGCGCTGGTAAGCGGAGGCAGGGCGCTGGGGAGGGCGCTGGCCGGAGAAGGGCGACTCTCGAGGCCAGAGGAGGTGACGCCTTTGAGGATGCAGGTGGTGGCCCCAGAGCTGGGTCAGCGTTGCCGACGCAGGGCCTGCCCCGAGGGCCCTGGAGATAAAAACAAAGTTTAAGAAACGAAGACTCATCGCTGTTACAACCCTTAACTCCTGGTAAAAGTTGTTATCTTGGCTTCCTGCTCAGGTCAAAATAAAAATCCACACAGAAATGTTTCATAACACGTTATTTCTTCTGTTTCTGAGTGTCTCCTAATGGCTCCTCTATGCCAATCAATTTTTGGCTCACACAGGGGTTTCACAGCTTTCCATGTTGTGGGTATACAATTTTGTATAAAGAGAAAAAGCAATAACTTTGAAGTAGTGGAGGTACTTGAAGAAGTTGGTTCTCGATACCATGAAGTATGTTATCCTGTGAACATGTGCTCTTTAATTGCTCTTTATATTGTTATTTAGGATTACAATGACTTTCTCTTGATTTTATGACTCATTCTGCATATCTGCCTTTTTTGGGGGTTCTATCACCACGTTATTACTGCAAACTGCAAACTGCAAACTACCTGGTTTTAAGTTTCTTTCCTGTTTATGTTACCATCTTTCTTTCCTGGTCAAATACATTGCAAACTGAACAGTTAAAACATAGACAAGTGGAAAAGAATACCAGTATAGTGAATAGTTTCAAGTTATATTTCTTATCATGCATTTAATATGAGGAAATAGTTTTAATTTATGTTTATTATTCATTCATTTCATCATACATTTAACAACTATTTATTGAGCACTTACTATCCATCAGGTACCGTTCTGGGAACTAGGAAAACATCAAATTAACAAAAATCCCTATGCTCATGGATCATACATTTTTGTGAGTGTTAACAGCTACTAAACAAATATGTAAGTAAGTAATTTTACAAGAGGATAAATGCTAGATAGAAAAATAGAGCAGGGAAAAGAGATGCAGGATATGGGATGAGAGCTGCAATTTGAAATGGGGTGGTAGGAAGCATGGTCAGGGAAGGTCAGGAAAAGTGGCCTTTGAGAAGGATGAGAAGGAGATATGGGAGCAATAGATGAGGATTTCTGTGAAAAAATAGGCCACACAGGGAGAATGGCAAGTGTGGAGGACCTGAGGTGGGCTTGTGATTGTGGAAAGAGCAAGTTTGGGGTAGGAGGGAGGGAGATCAAGAATTTAATTTTAAATGTATTGAGATATAATTCAACATCCAGGCATAACTCTTGTGTAGGTAGTTGGACATTTGAATCTGGAGGTTAGAGGAGATATACATTTGGGATTCAGCAGCATATTAATATTTAAATCATGACACTTGACGGAATAGCTAAGGGATTGAGTGTAGATGGAGTAGAGGAGAGTCCAAGGCCCTGGGATTCTCCAACATTGACATGTAGAGGCAATAAGAAGAAATCAGCAGAGACTAAGAAGGAGTGACCAAGGAGATAGGATGAAAACCAGTAAGTGCCTGGTGTACTGGAAGCAGGTGAGAAAGTGTTTCAAGGAGTGAGGAATGAAAAATGGTGGCAAATCCTACTGATGGGCCAAGTAATATGAGAATCAAAAATTGACCAAAGGGGCTGACCGGTTAGCTCAGTTAAAGCATAGTGTTATAACAATAAGGTCTAAGGGTTCTGATCTCACAGTGTAGGGGGGAGGCCAAAGAGAGCACATTACTTACCTAACCTATACGGATTTATATTTAAACTCTTTCTGTGTTTGTACTGTCTTCCCATCTCCACTACCAACATTCCAGTCTAAACCATCACCATTTCACATTTCCCCTGCACCCACTCTGTCACAGGTCTGTCCTTTACATACCAGTCAGGGTGATCTTTATAAATAACCCCCCACCCCCCACTCCTATCTAAAGTCTTTCTGTTGCTTACCATTGCTTTTAGAATAAAATTGAGATATTTTCTAATACCCTATAGGTTCTGAAGATATGGCCCTGCCTCCCTCTCTCATTTCAGCTCATCCCTCACTTCCTCAGGACTTTCAAGAGAAACAGTGTTTCTCACCCTAGAGGTTTTATATTTGCTGTCTCCTTTGTCTGAAATGTTCTTTCAAATATCTGGCTCTTTTTCTTCTTTCAGGTCTCAGCTCAGTTGTTACATCCTTAGAGTGGCCTTTTCTATCTACATTCACCCATCAATTTATGTTTTTTATTTATTTGCTTTCTTGTGTATTGTATGACTTCCCCATTAGAATGTAAGCTCCCTAGTGACTTTGGATAATGTGTCTCTTTTTAATTGCTCTATCTCTGGCAACTAGCCAAGGGGTTGGGACATAATCAATATTCAATAAATATTTAGTATTGAAATAATTCAAGGGTTATTATCCTTGTATTCTCAGTAATTGTGAATGTTGTATATAGGAAAGTAGATCAGGGCCAATCTGTAAGTACATATCTATCCCATCTTTAAATAGACTGTAAGAAATTACAAATGTTGGGGATTGACATGGACCTTAACAATCCAACTTGACACAATTTAGGTCTTTATGCGACAATTTTTATCAAATGCCTGTTGTGTGCTCGGTGCTGTGCTAGTCACTGGTCACACAGTGGCGAACAAAGTAGATATGGAAATCTGTGCTCAAGGAGCTTATAGTCTAGAGAGGGAGATAGACTTTCATTGAGTCACTAAGTCACACACAGACAAGTGCTATGAAAGAAGTAGCTGCTCAGCACTTGTATATGCCAGGCATTGTACTAGGCACTGGGGAATATAGTAGTGACCAGACAAAATTCCTTGCCCTCTTGAAGCTTATATTCCGGAGGGGGAACTAGACAATAAACATATCAAATATGTACATTTAATGGTAACCTAGAAAGTGATAAATGCTAGGGAGAAAAAGAAAGTGAAATATGCTCGGGGAAGGGGATTATGGGGTGGGAAACAGGATGTTCCAATTTTTAATAAGGTTGTCAGAGTAGATGAAACGAGCACAGGCTTAAAGAGAATATAGTGGGGGTCTGTTTTCAAATGAATTGTTAGGAAGGTAACATTAAGCTGAGATTAGAAGGATGCCTGGGAATCAATCAGGCGAACAGAGAGGATAAACGGGGAATAAGCATGTAGGAAGATCTTTGGCAGGAAGGAGCCAGATACTTTGGAGGAATGGACAAGAAGCCCTTTTAGCAGAGGCGTAGTGAATGGGGGTACAGTGGTATGTGTTGAGATTAGAGGGATATGTAGGGCTTTGGAAGGTTTTAGAGGCCATTTCAAAAAGTTTAGATTTATTCCAAATGCAGAGGGAAACCACTGGGTAGTTTTTCACAAGGGATTAACCATATGTGATTTTTGTTTTAAAGTATTTTGGTGATTATGTTCAAATGGAGCAAGGATGTTAGTCTGGAGACCAGTTAGGAGTCTAGGAGGTGGGAGTTGCTTCTATAACATATTTGACATATGGTTATTTTTTAAAATCAAAATTTGTTTCTTCTTATGACTATAGGAAGTTCCATAAGTATAAAATTCATAGTATCTAAAATATAAATTTTGATGATACCAGCAATGTCATTAAGTAAGAGTGTGATACATTTTTTTAAAATGTGCTTTTGTTATAAGCACATAAGATTTAGATATTCTTATACAGTTATGATTTTCTATTTTAGAACATTCTAAATATCCAGTGGCAGCTATAATTAATCAGGAATCCAAAGTACATTAACATTCTCCTCTTAAATGATGTACATTATATAGTATATATTATATATTTTGTGTTTAATCATTATGTAAGCCATTCCCAATAAGCAGCCTTAACCTGAACTGAGGGTTCACACACAAAAAAGTTTCTCTTTATTATATAACCTTGATTGACTTAACAAAGCTGGCATGTTTCTTTTATGAGTAACAAACCTAGTCATCATGATCTCATCTGTAAGGTTTAGAAGAATTAACTATTTTATCTACATAATTTAAGAATTCTAGCAAGACTTGGTGAATTTCTTGAATTCATTATATTTATTCTAATACTGTAGCATTTCATGAAGCAGTAAATGAAAGTGAAAAAGGTAAAAAATACACAAAACACCTCTCCCTTTTTAAACTTCTGTGGTTTATATTTGCCACATTACTTATTACTTGGTACTTGTATCTATTTTTCTACCCCCAAATGTTATTAATCAGTCCATGAAGGCAGGAATGTTTTGGCCCCCTCACTCAGTCAATGACTCAATCAACATCATTTAATTACCCAAATGAACTAATTGACATGTTTCTCTTGAGCCTGTTTCATTAACATTCCAACATGTACCTCGTAAATATTGGAGCCATCTTCAGTCCTTAAGTTTAGACCCTGTCTGTATTAGTCAGCTCAGGCTGCCATAACAAAATACCATAGACTGGATGGCTTAAACAACAGAAATTTATTTTCTTGAAATTCCGGAGGCTACAAGTCCCGGGTCAAGGTCTAGTAGGGTTGGTTGCTAGCAAGGACTCTTTTTCTGGCTTGTGGAAGGCTGCTTTGGCCTCACATCACCTTTCCTCTGAGCTAGCATGGATAGACTGGATGGCTTAAACAACAGAAATTTATTTTCTTGAAATTCCGGAGGCTACAAGTCCCAGGTCAAGGTCTAGTAGGGTTGGTTGCTAGCAAGGACTCTTTTTCTGGCTTGTGGAAGGCTGCTTTGGCCTCACATCACCTTTACTCTGAGCTAGCATGGAGAGAGAGAGCAAGCTTGTGGTGTGTCTTCTTGTAAGGGCATTAATCCCATCAGATGAGGATCCTACCTCTATGACCTCATTTAACCTCAATTGCTTCCTTAGTGGCCTCATCTCCAAATACAGCCACACTGGGAACTAGGGCTTCAACATATGAATTTTGAGGTGGGGGTGGAGGTGACATAAACATTCCCTCCATAACACTGTCATTATCTAGAAATTTATGAGATAGGATTGGACTTGGATTTTACTTAGAGGCATTTATACTTTCTGGGAGGGAGGGAAGGAGTATATGTTAATTAAATGAATAAATAAAATAAGCAATGATCTTCTAGCCTTTGAAACTCTGATTAGAAACCATGTTAAGAATACTGTATACTTTGTTTTTGCTTTACTTAGAAGGAAGCATAACACTAATTGGATTGACTAGAAATGTGGGCCCTTGAACTCTTCATAGAAAAGAATAAAATAAGAACAAAAAATGTTTTTTTCCTAATTATCTTTTTGTTTATTTATTCATTCTTTCAACAAATATCCATTGAGTTCCTACATGTACTAGATATTCATTACTTTGGAACTTGGCAATGAATAATATAATTGAGGTTCTTGCCCTCAGGGAGCTTATATTACAGAGGACTAGAAAATACAGTTATATAGTGGTTAAGAGAATAGACACCCTGAATCTCAGCTTCATAAGCTATATATTTGAGAAATTGATATTACCAATCTTGGGGTGGTTGTAAATGAAAAAAAACTCATGTAGGCGATGACCCAGTATAGCTAACACAATATTAAAGGAAAACAAAGTTGGAGGACTGGCAGAACTTAATTTCAAGACTTACTATAAAGCTACAGTAATCAAGACAGTGTGATATTGGTGAAAGAATAGACAAATAGATCAATGGAACAGAATACATGGCCCAGAAATAGACCTACATAAATATAGTCAACTGATCTTTGACCAAGGAGCAAAAGCAATACCATGGGGAAAAGACAGTCTTTTCAATAAATGGTCCTGGAACAACTAGATATCTACATGTGAAAAAACGAATCTACACCTAAGCTTTACACCCTTCACAAAAATTAACTCAAAATGGATCACATATCTAAATGTAAAATGCAATACTGTAAAATCCTAGAAGATAACGTAGGAGAAAATCTAGATGACCTTGGGTTCGATGATGATTTTTTACATACAACACCAAAGGCACGATCCATGAAAGAAAGAATTGGTAAACTGGATGTAATGGTCACTTTCAGGTGTCAGCTTGCTGAGATTAAGGGATACATAGAAACCTGGTAAAGCATTATTTTTGGGTGTGTCTATGAGGGTGTTTCCAGAAGAGATTAGCATGTAAGCCTGAAAGGACAGGGTGGGAAAGATCCACCCTCGATATGGGCAGGCACCATCCAATCTGCTGGGGGCCCAGAGAGAACAAAAAACAGAAGAAAATGCAAATCTCACTCTATTTCTACTGGAACTGCGATATGCTCTTCTCTCCTATTCGTGGATGTCTGAACTCAAGACTCTTTGGCCTTTGAGTTCCAGGACTTACATCAGCGGCACTTCTGGCTCGAAGGCCTTTGGTCTTGGACTGAGAAGCACACCCTCGGCCTCCCTGGTCCTGAGGTTCTTGGACTTGGACTGAGCCATGCTGCCAGTGTTCAGTTTGAAGATGGCCTGTTGTGAGACTTCTCAACCTTCACAACTGCATGAGCCCGTTCCCCTAAGAAATCCCCCCTCATATATTTATGCACATATCCTATTGGTTCTGTTTCTCTGGTGACACCTAATATGCTGGACTTCATTCAAATTAAAAATTTCTGTTCTGTGAAAGACACTGTCAAAAGAATAAAAAGATAAGTGGTAAAGTGGGAGAAAATATTTGCAAAAGACATATCTGATAAAGGACTGTTATCCAAAATATACTAAGAACTTTTAAAACTCAACAGTAAGAAAACAACCTGATTTTAAAAATGAATCAAAGATCTTAGACACCTCACCACAGAAGATATATAAATGGCAAATAAACATATGAAAAGATGCTGTACAAAATATGTCATCAGGGAAATGCAAATTAAGACAATGAGATACCCTGCATACCTATTAGAAAGGCCAAAATCCAGACCACTGACAATACCAGATGCTGGCAAAGATGTGAAGCAACAGGAACTCTCATTCATTGCTTGTGAAAATGCAAAATGGTGCAGCCACTGTGGAAGACAGTTTGGTGGTTTCTTACAAAATTAAACATACTCTTACCGCACTATTCAGCAATTGTGCTCCTTGGTATTTACCCAAAGGAACTGAAAACTTATGTCTGTATAAAAACCCACACACGGATATTTATGGTAGCTTTATTCTTAGGTGCCAAAACTTGTAAGCAACCAAGATGCCCCTTAGTAGATGAGTGAATAAATAAACTATGACACAGGCTTAGTAGATGAGTGAATAAATAAACTATGACACAGGACTGGCTGGTTAGCTTAGTTGGTTAGAGTGTGGTGCAGGTAACACTGTGGTCCAGGGTTCAATCAGCTGCCAAAAATTTTTAAAAAAAGTATATTGTTGAATTTACTAATTATCCAAAAATTAATTAAAAAAAAAAAAAAACAAAAAAAAAACTATGGTATATCCAGATAGTGGAATATTATTCAGTGCTAAATGAGCTATGAAAAGCTAAAAAAGTATATTGTTGAATTTACTAATTATCCAAAAATTAATTAAAAAAAAAAAACAAAAACAAAAAACTATGGTATATCCAGATAGTGGAATATTATTCAGTGCTAAATGAGCTATGAAAAGCCATGAAAAGACATGGAGGAAACTTAGATGCATTTTACTAAGTGAAAGAAGCCAATCTGAAAAGGCTACATACTGTGTGATTCCAACTGTATGAATTTCTGGAAAAGACAAAACTATGGGGACACTGAAAAGATCAATAGTTTACAGATATTAAGGGTGAAGGGAGGATGAGTAGGAAGAGCACAGATGGTTTTTAGGTCAGTGAAACTATTTTCTATGATACTATAATGGTGGAAACACCTCATTATACATTTGTCAAAACCCATAGAATGTACAACACGAAGAATGAACCCTAATGTAAACTATGGACTGGGGGACAATGAAGTTTCAGTGTGGGCTCATCAATTGTAACATATGTTTCTCTCTGGTGGGGGATGTTGATAACAGGGGAGGCTGTGCTTGTGTAGGGGTAGGGGGTATATAGGAAATCTCTACCTTCTGCTCAATTTTGCTGTAAACCTAAAACTACTCTAAAAAATAAAGTGTATTTTAAAAAAAATACATGTAAAGGGCTTCTGTCAGAGCTCAGTACATAGTAAGCAATAATTTTAACTATAATTACATTTATTATTAATAATTAGAAATTAACAGTGAAGCACATTGAAAAGACTTGGCACAAAAGTTTTTAAGGATTGCTTTCAAATTAATTGATGTTTCCTGCTAACTTTGAAGGTATCGCTTTATTTTATGATTTTTACAGTGCCACTTCTTTGTTTAATATCTGGACCAAATACGCCCCCAGGCTGCCAGCTGACTATTACAATGCAAAGCTTCTGAAGGTTGGAGATAGCCTTTGTCAAATGAAAGTAAGTGTCTTTGGAGCAAAGAGAGCCAAAATGAAACTCATTTGACTAATTATTATTATTATTTGGTTTGACATATTCCTATTTTGATTTTTTTCCTTAGAAAAAAAAATACGTGCAAATTTGAATGAGGTGCAGTAACCCAAAAAGTGTATGCCTTTTGATTTTGTAGTTGAGATTCCCCAGAGGTGAGAAATGCCAGAACAGACAGGCAGCTGGCTGGGGAGGGGCAGGAGCACAGCCCCGGTTAACAGAGGGTGTGGTAGGTGCACAACAGGAAACGCTGAGTCATCATGTTCCTACCTTACACAAAGGAGCCCAGACACCACTTCCTGTTGTTTTTCACATGGCTGGCCTTGCCCAGCGGACAACCCTCATGGCTCCTGGCCTTGCTGCTGTGTTGCCTGGTTCCCAGTGCCCTGTTTCAATGACTTTAAGCTCCTTCTTAATATTTTGCTGTATGTAATCGTGCTCTATTTGTAGTCCCATATGAACGCCTAGGTCTTGGAATACTGTAGACGTGTGAGCTCAGTTTGATAAGACCACACCATGGCTGGGTGTTCAGTTAATGATAATGTGCATTTTCCCCTGAAGCTCTGGCATAGGTCCAAATTATTCTAAGTTGTGTAAATGCTGGACAAAGAGTTATTTTATCCAAAGGGATTTGGGGCCAGACACGGCCAGTACTCAGTGTTTTCTCAGTCTTTGGTTTCTCAGCTTCATTTTGCTTCTCCATTTCTATTTTCTAGACTGTAATCATTTTGGTCAGTAAGTCAGATTTACCAAATAGAGGGTCAGATATGAGGAACTTTCATAATGAAGAACTAAGATTTATTTTCCCCTGCCAAAATTAGACAATAACCTTAGCACCATGTAAATGGACTATGGTTCTTGGAAACTTGAAAATATAGGGTCTGGAAAACTACAGAAAAAATCCAAAACAAACAGATGAGATCCAACTTGTAAGCTACATTCACGTAAAGTGAAGTAACAATTTGGGCAATAAGAAGAAAGCCCCTCTCCATCTTTCTGCTTCTCAGTATAAGCAGCTGGTAATACAAAGCACAGATTATTGTCTGAGGAGTATCCAGGTGGGTGGGGTGGACATTGGTGGAGGGAGGAGGAAGGAGCATGTTAGAAGCTGCTAAAGCAAGTTGGTGATGGGCAGTAGCTAAGGATTCAGAATGTTCCCGATAGAAAGGCCTGGCTGGGATATTTTAAAATTTACATAAAGGAAAAAAGAAAATGTTTTATCGGCTTTTTGCTGTTGGGTAAGTTGGTCACTGAAGGTATTTATAATCCTGAAAATGATCTTGAGTTGTTATTTTGCTTTCTAGCCTCTCTTTAATTTTATTTTAGTTATGGTAAAGATCATCTTGGGGAATAACCATGTTTCAAACCTACATTTGAATTTTTTATATTAATCAAGTTAGAATGGGAAAGATCCAGAATTTATTAGCGAGGATATAACAAACAAGTCACTAGAAGTATAAACAAAACAGTGTTTGACTGTGGAAGCCTCCCAAGGGGCTAGGTAACTGACAGGCAATTCACAGGCTGCTTTTCCTGGACACACAGTTGCAGGGGAGGAAGCTGAGGAAGGATTGCAATGACTCATGTTTACAACCCTGCTCACGTCCCCTGCCCCCAACTCCCCAGCTCAACTGTACCCCCGGGTTACAGAAATGAGGCATCTGACTCTAACGGGGACATAAGCATGAATTTGAATTTGAATTTAGATTAATAAGAATCCCATGGCTCAGACTTGCCCTGCTCACGTCCCCTGCCCCCAACTCCCCAGCTCAACTGTACCCCCGGGTTACAGAAATGAGGCATCTGACTCTAATGGGGACATAAGCATGAATTTGAATTTGAATTTAGATTAATAAGAATCCCATGGCTCAGACTTTTTTTTATTTGTCCTGATTGCAGCTTCAGAGAATGTTGACAGATGAAAGAGAGAGAGCTCACTCACCGTCTGTATTTATTTTCTTTCTTTCCTTCTCTTTTTTCTTTTCTTTCTTTTCCCCTCCTCTCCCTCTTTCCTTTTCTCACTCATTCCCCCCCCCACTTTTTTTAGCTTAAGCTGTATCAGAGAAGCAATACACATCTTCCTCTCTGACTGAATATGGGTTACCATGATCTGGTGATGTTGAGGTTTAGGGCTTGGATTTTGAGAATATGTAGATATTACCACACACAGTACAATAGTGAATATTCTCATCTTTGTGATCATCATGGTCCCATCTCACAATAGACTTGTGAGAATTAAATGAAATAATACACATGAATTGGGTAGTGCAGTGTCTGTCACATAATAATGGATCTGGAAAACAGTGATGTAGTAACAGTAATAATCAGCATTGATACTATTAAAATAACATGAATATTACTTAACTTAATAATGATAAGCAAAATGATATGTTGAATCTTTAATCAAGTCCTCATTTTATTTCAGGAATACAAACTGGCCCTTTTACAGTGCTATGGACGATATCTTCAGCAATTTAGTACCAATTTTGATGAGAATAAAGCAGATGTGAATCAATTCAAGACTGTCTTTTTTCCAAAAGGCTTTGGAGATAAAACTGCTGGACTTACAGTAAGATGACAGAGGCAGCTAAAGTAGATACAATTTATATTAGTTGTATAATATATCCTTTAGTTGACAGCTTCTAAATTTTCTTTGCTTAGCATAGCATTTAGCCATGGGCTATAAGTTGCTTAATAAATACTTTCAGTGCTGGATAAGAAAGTGAACTTATTAAACTTTGTAAAGGTGCTTTGGAGATTGTGTAGCTATGATCATCTAGCAGATGGTTATTGTTATAATAACTAATATTTATAGAGTGCTTCTGATTTACAAAGTACTTGGAAAACATTTGATCCTTACAATACTGTGATGAGTTAGATACTATTATTATCCCTATTTATAGAGAAAAATAAATCTGATAATACAGTTAGTGTAAAAAAGTGGCTCTTGAGATCAAACACCAATCTTTTGGTAGAAAAATTTTATACTTATTTCTACTATACCAGTATTACTATGTTAAGGCTATCATTGATTCACTGGTTGTATAGTTACCATGTGTTAGGTACTCTGTTAAATGCTTTATATGAATTATTATCTTGCAGCCTCATTACAATCCTAGGAGGTG